CAGTGATAAAAAGTCTTTTTGGTGTGTGGTTGCAGGTGTGCAGGCTGCCCATGTGACCTTCTCCCTCCTCCGCAGATGCAATACAGTTCTCTCTAGGGGTCTCTCTTCCTAGGAGGCAGCTTTGGGCCTCACTGAACTCCTGGGGCTCCTTCCCTGCTTCTCACTTCCATGCCTCGCTGTGCTTCCTTCCTAGGGACTTGTTGTAGCTGACTGTGCACTTAGGCTGCTAGTGAGGAAGAAAATCTGGGAAGAAGCATGGGGGGAAGCTCCTCTCCTTTCCTGTTCAGGGAAGATGCGTTTTTGTTTGTTTGTTTGATTTTTGTTTTTTTGTTTTTGTTTTTTTAAAAAAGCCCAGGGTAAGAATATTTGGCTCTTTGTCCTAAAGTTATAATACTTTGAGCAGAAATAATTTTTTTTCAATAAAATGTAAGATATGGAGGCAAAAAGCCTCAAGGTCTCACTAAAACTAACAGTTTATCTTGAGCTTGAGCACTATCAGCCTTTGTGCTTAAATGGGTTCTCAGGTCATTTACAATACACAATAAATGTGGATGTGGCATTATCTGTCTTTTCTTTGGCAGAAGATATGTATTTTAGGACATTTTAGCTCAAACATTACTTGAAATGCATGTTGTCCGGAGTTATTTCATATCAGTAAGAACTAGTTTGTTCCATGCAAAATACAAAACATGCCCAGTGTTATTCCATGGCAAGATGGTTGGTGCCACCTGCATTCTTATAAGTGCATCTCATTGATTGACATTGAGACCAAGACAACCACGGAAGACACTTTAGCACAGTTCTTGGCAGAAACCTGTATGCTATAGGCAGAATTGTTTATTTATATCAGCTATGAAAATGCAGATACTAAATTATATTAGAAGATGATGGCACTTTATATGCAATGACAGACAGAAAGAACTGCCCACGTTATGTGATTAATAATTATCCATCCATTTATTAATTCAATAAATATTTACTGAATACTTGTTAAGTACCAGACATTGTTCTAGATATTGGGGTACAGCAGTAAATAAGAGACTGGTCCTCTTTTCTCACGAAGGTTATATTTTAAAGTGGAAAGACAGACAGCAAACAGACAAATAAAAAACAACCAGAAAAGAACAGTGATAGATGTAAGGATGAAAAATAAAACTCCAGGTGCTGTGATAGCGACGGGGTGGTCAGGTTCAACTTTTCTGAGGCACTGACACTCAAGCTAAAACTTGAATGATAAGAAGAAGCCTGCCACATGAGGATCTGGGGGAAGAGTGTTCCTTGCAGAGGGAAGACTGAGTAGGGACAGTAGACAATGAGAAAACGAACAGCAATGCCCGTGGAACTCATGAGGAAAAGAAAGAGCTGGCAGAGCAACCAGGTGCAAGGTCATTATGCAGGATGATGACTAAATAAATAAATAGATAGATAGATAGATAGATAGATAGATAGATAGATAGATAGATAAAGTCGTCTTTAAGAATGACATATAATGTGAAATAAAGGAATATTGGAATCAGATGATATCAAAATATAAAATGGGGACTGGAAAAATTTTATTTGGAAAATGATTTTTGTCTGGGTCTTACTAGTGTCGGAACTGTCTCTGATGAAGGCTGTCTGCACCATTATTCATCTTGAAACGAAGAATGAGGCTCTCTTAGTTCTTTAAGAATCTTATGTCCCACTATAACTCACCACTTTTTCCTTGATTAACAACATAATACGTGTTTATGATAGAACATTTGGAAAATACAGATAAGCTAAAGGAAGAAATAAAATCACTCCAAGTCTAGCCACCCGAGAATAACTGTTAACATTTGGGCACAGACTTTATTTATGCTTATATAGTGTAGTAATTCAGAATTTGGGCTCTGGAGTAGGGGAAAATCATGGCTTTGTAACTTGCTAAACGAGGGTTGCTTATTTTTCAGTCTATTTTAACTGCTTATAAAGTGATGCTTAACCATCTGCAATCTCTTTAAGGCTCAGTTTTCTCATCTGGAAAGTGAGAATAGTAATATTACCCTCTTTATAGGACTGCTGTGAGGATTGACTGAGAGGCAATGTAATGCTCCTGACTGAGTGCTGGGCACATAGTACGTACTTTAACTTGTTAGGCATTATGCTATTACTATTTTAGAAAGTTGGGATTGTATTGTAAAGCTGTTAGTATATAAATTATTATTTAATTTATCACTAGACATTTTACATGATCTTAAATACATATTTATAATGTAGTTTTTAATGGTTACATAGCATTTTACTGTAGAGATATAACTTAATTTTCTATTATGAGACATTTAGGCTGTTTCCAAATTTTCACTGCTTAAAACAATTCTACAGATAAAATCTTGCAAACTTTCATGGGTATTCCTCTAGGATAAAATCTAAGAAATTGCTGGGTCAAGGGCATGTATATTTCCAAGACCCTGATACATTTCATTATGTCCTCTACTATGAATTTAGATTATACTTTGGATAAGAATAATGTCAGGAAGTAACCAGTACATGTATGTGTGCAGTTTTGAGGTCTGATTTACCATCAGCTTAGTGAAACACTACCCACCCCCCACTTCTTTTCTCTAAATCTGTGCTTACCTTCTTCCCTCATTCCTTAGGGAAACTTCTCAGTTTCAAGCTTCCGGCTGAACAAATTTGTTTATAATTTTCTGATTTGCTGGGAATTCTGTCCTTAATATTCATAGGGTTTTAGTGTATCAGAAATCCAATCCCCTCATCTTACAGATGAGAAAAAAAGTAGAGGGAGCAAGTGATTTGTCCAAGTTGGTTTTCTGGTCCATGCTATTGTTAAGACAGTTAATAAAAGCTGGCTTTCTTTATCTGTGGTGCCTAGTTAGGCAGTCAGCTCATGTAGACAGCCAGTAATGTTTGTTGAATGACTACCTGAAGTAATTTACAGCTTCCTAGGGATGTGGAAACTGAGATGTGGAAACTGGGGTGTGGATGTTGTCTTTAGCCATTAGTGACAAGTTGGAATAACAACCAAAGTCTCACAATTCCCAGGAGAGACAAGGGAAAACCAGGAAGAGACAGGTTTTGAGGGGTAAGGTGAGCGTCATGTGGAGAAGGAGTTTAACTAATTCTGCCTTGTTCCAGAGAGGGCAAAGCCAAGATTAAAACTGGAAGTTGCTGGTAGGACAATTTTAGCATAATACAGGAAAGAGCTTTTTAATAGTTAGAACTGTCCAAAACTGAAATAGATTTTCTTGAAAAGAAGTGAGTTGCCCCTACCTGAAAGTGTTCAAGTAGAAACAGGGTTTGTTTAAATAAATAATTTGTCAAATATTCTCTAATAGAAAAAAAATTGTTTTGTGTGCCCAGTTGGAATAGGTCTCTACTGAAACTAAGATTAAATGATTTTGTGAATGTACATGTAGATATAGATAGATATAGTTATAGATATAGATATATCTGTAAATCCATATCTATATCTAAATATCACACATTTAGATAGTTAGATGGATGATTTTTGTCTTGTCAATTCTACTTTGAAACTGAGTCTTTTGAATGTGAATACACTGATTTTCTCATTTTTAAAAGAGACCAGATAAACTTTAATGTCTTTACCTACCCAAGATTCTATTTTTCTAAATAATTTTCTTTTTAGTGTTAATTCAGTATGCTATACACAGTAGGGGTCCAAAAGATGAATTTTTTTTAAATTAGCTCTTAAGTCTGTAAAAATCTACATTTGACATTAATTGAGTTACAGTCTCCACGTAGCCGGACAATGTGGTCTCAATCAAATATATCAGTTGATCACATTCAAGAGCACTAGATATGCATAAACTTTTTTTTAATTAAAAAAAGTTAAAATTAAAAGAAGAAATCTGGGTGGATTGTACCATGATGGGATAATAGCGTTCTCTTATTGGGATTCTGAAGGATGATATGTAATTATGGTTGGAATTACTTCCCAGAATATAAAGAATCCTTTTAATATTAACCTGCAAATGTGATTTAATTGGATTTCAAATATGGAATTATCAAAAGACTGCTCACAATAAAAAATTCATCCAAATTCTAGTGGTAAGACAGCCACATAAATGAACCATATTATAGGAATACTTTCAAATTTCAAGATTTCGCATCAGTAATAGAAGTGGAGATCCTGACAAGTTCCTACTTGGGTTTCCCCTCTCAGAGAGCAATCTAGCAAAGCTCAGAGGAAACTCACAGATGGCATCTGTGATGCACTGTTTGCGATTCCAACCAGAAAGAAAATGGATAAAAACCAGCAAAGATTGGGGGATTTTTTTTGGCTTCCCTTCCTCCTTTCTTTCTTCCTGCCTCTCCCCTTCCTCTTTTATTTCTTTCTTATTAGAAAGCTAAATAAGGAAATTAATGTTTAAATTAAGTATTTCATTTGATTTATCAACATTGTCATTGTTTTGGATACCCTTAATGGTAAAGAATTATGGCTCAAGTCAAGATAGGGTCTCCATTGGCTGGAATATCTCAGCTGTGCCTTTGCAGTTAAAAAAATGTATAATATTTCTGGAATGGCAAGACCTTCTATGTTTCAGATATTGTGTAGATGCAAGAGAGATAAAAACATCAGGCATGAACCTTGGCCTCACAGAGAGGCATAAGCAAATGCATAGCACAGGTTCATCATAGAGCCTAGATGAGGCTCCGAGTTCTTTCTGACCCAAGACTTCAAACAGTCACTGCTAATCTGTCACGGAATTGGCATGAGAGGTGACATCTATTAGAATCAAAAGTTCTTTGGTAATAGGTCTCATTCTAACAATTGTAAACATGGTTATTTCATGTCTATAAAGTAAGACCCATTTTGTGTGTGTCCTGAAGATTTTTTGAATTTCACGCTCAGCAACATGAAATGGAAAAACAACTTTAAAAAAGTTACCTCCACTGCTGCTTTTGCCCTTTCAAATTCCTCTTCTAAGGAGTGGTTTCTGGAAAGTAATGCACTGCCCCAGCGCTGTTCTTTGGTCAGTCGAGCCTGAAATAAACCAAACACGTGGCATTACAATATTAGAATCACATAACACAAGAATACAACTATTTTTCCTTTCCCCATGTTCCCCTCAAGTTTAAACAGCACCTGCAACTGATATCATTTTTGGAGTACTCTGCAAGCGTGATGTGGCCCAAACTGGAATGGTGCCACAGTGTGTGTAAGCATGCATGCACGATTCTTCCAACAGAGGGTCTCAGCTCTGGTCATATTAAAACCATTGCCCATGCCCAACTTTCCAAAGATCTCACTTGAATTTGTCTTGGTGCCAGGCACTGATATTTTAGCAAGCTTGCCTATATGATTTTAATAGGCAGCTGGGATGGAGAATCTCCCTTAGATGACTAGGCCCAGAAACTGTTATGTGAGCTTTCAGCTTGTTAAAGGGCCAGCTTTAGGTAAAACTGAAAGCTGCAGAGCAGAAAGGTGGCATCTAGGTCTTTCTCCTTATATATGCAGCAGATCCTTATGCTGAACTCTCCTTCGCCTTCCCTCTACTGGCACACATCTGTCTTATGTCTCATTTCCTCAGGACAATTGTTCTGTTAAATAATAGTCTCTTAGATGAAATCATGACTCATAATGCCAACTGCTTTGTCACAATTAACAGGCAATGTGATATACATCTTAGCTAAATGCAAATATTTCCAGAAGGTCCTACAAAGAGTGTGCCGGAATTTTAAAAATTGTTACTAATTTTTAATTTCATAGACAACTAATACACTTTTTGAAAAAAATTAGATATTTTAGACCTTTTTTCTTTGTAGTTACATGTATATTTATGTACCCATAGGTAGACTATTGCAATGTGTTTTGAAAATTTTTTGAAATATAAATAATATGTTATTCAATAAATTATGTTTTTCTACTCAACAATATATCTTGGAGAGTCTCCACAATTAGTGCTTAAAGATCTACCTCACTCCTCTCTCAGGGGTTTCCTGGTCGGTACTAAACACTAGTTTGTTTGGAACTCTCTCTTTTTCTCTGTGCAATTGCTTGTTATCTTGTCTATCCTTCTGCTCTACTGTGGGATCTTTGTGGGTAGGATTTCGTCTGCTAACTTTTTGTACTGTCCCATACCTAGCCCAGGGCCTGGCATGTGATTCATGCCCCAGGAAGGCCGGGATTGCACTGATAAGGCAGCTTGGCCTTGGGGAGTAGGAGGAGAGAGGCTTGTAGAGTGAAGTCCTCCCAGCCTCCTTTAAATCACGCTGGGGGGTGCTCCTTGGACCACAGATTGCTCTCCTGCAGGA